ACACACACACACACACACACACACACACACACACACACACACACACACACACACAAATAAACAAACAATTATCTTGGTTCCTAAAACTAACCAAGTACTTTTAAGCACTCAGTCAGAGTATTGTCTTTTATAAGCTCAGTTTAATGTTTTATAAGTTGCTGTGAGGTAAAAAATCAATCTCGACTCTCATGTTTACAGGTCCTTTGAGGTTCGTTTTACATTCCTTTCACATTATGAGCCGGATGTTGCTCGTTCAAACTGTAAGTGAAAAAAGTTTGAAGTAAGAACTGCTACTTTTATTGCTGAAGTTTGGGGGTTTGAAGCAGTGGAAGACCCCTCTTTGTGCTTAACATCAGAGGCTTAGACAGAATAACATTATTAACTCCGGGTTCAGAGCTGCTTCATTTCTAAACTTATCTAGAATTTCATTAAATCCTGTTTTTGTGTAAACCTGTTGACAAGTTTAAACTATTTACAGGTAATTCGTGTTCATGCTTCAAAGTACATCATCACTTTTATTTATTTAAATTCAACAAATATCTGGTGCATCTACACTTATTTCTCATGACAGCCTATTAGGTCCTTTTTCTTTTTTCTTTTTTTTTTTTTTTTTTGGTCTCTTGTTTCAAATACAAAAAAAATGCACTAATGACTGCTGGTCAGCAATGATGTCACTTTCCTAAATGCACAAAATTGTAACACATAGATAGCCATAAAATGGTTTAATAAATCCATACAGAAGGGTTACATATGTTTTAAAAAWAAGCCTTGTACTATGCATCAGTGTAGCTCATACTTGGACAATCGGTACAAAAGTCTCACTGGTTTTCTTTTGCTAATCACCTTTAAATCCTGAACACATGATAGTCAATACCACATAAAAATGTTAAAATTCAAATGCACTATTTAAACGTATTTTGGGTATTTAATTTAGTAAAAAAAAAAAACACATTTGCTTTCAGTTTTTAGTGCTTTTAGAGAAACATATAGAGGACATCTGTGGACTGCGTCACTCCTCCTGTTACATATATTTTTTGTTTTCTTTTGTATGTTTCAAAAAAATTAAGCAATCTGACAGCAAACTGTTACTAGTTTATAAAGATCAACAAATGATTGCAGCCAGTGAAAAGACAAAACACTTTGATGTGTGGGATATTGGTCTTTGTTGTAATTTTCTGAAATTTTTTTTTGTTTTGTTTTAAAATACCTGAAAAATAAATGGATAAATACATGGATGGCATATATAAATTTGCTGAAATTAATTATTTTCCTGTGTAGTATCATGCAACGTATCTGTCATCTTAAAAGAAAATATCTCAGACCATTTGAAATGTGGTTCTATGGAAAGGTAATTAACCTGTAGTATATATCTCTTTGAAYGACCTCTGTTTGGAGAAAAACAGTTCATTCTGGACTCGTCTGATGAGCTAATGGCTAGCCAAGAACAATGCAAAGGGTTAAAAAAAACAGTGTGTGAATTACTATGTAAATTTTTAGACTAGATGTGTTTAAAGACAGCATCAATCCCTTTTTAATCTGATTTAAACTCTTATTTTTTTATTAGTTATTATTTTTTGAACTATCTTCAACATGTAAGATACTAAATGTTTATACCCTTTCCATTGAACAACTCAGCTAATTAGAGAACATGTCTCCGGACCTCGTCACCAGATTTTATATCCCTTCATTAATCACGTGCTCTTAACTGGAGATGAAGTCTTGTTGCCTTCCACATGTTCAGAATCATTTTTGCAGCAACTCGACTTGTTTCTGCTGTTTGAAAATGCATCAGAGCAAATTAGCCCAAGCCTTCAGGGTGATGCATGAACTGTACGTGCACGGCTTTGTTAGCAATCGGTCCACTGCTGTGAAGTTAGTGGGCTRATTTTACAACTGATGCACTCACAAGGTTTTTTTTTTTTAATGTAGAAAGTGGCTGGTCATTTGGTTGATTGTTTTGATTTTCAAATGCATCTTTTAATATTGTGCTATAACTTTTTGTGTTCTAAAGCTACAATTCCTTACATAAGTGCATAAAATATTAAAACACTATTTTGTTTTAGTCATTTTTTTTATTTAGAGGTTGCTTTCGGTTATTAAACTGCAGTAATGTTTTTGTATATAACAAAATGAGTTTTATTTGTTTCCTCCCCACATTTGTCATTWTATTTCCATTAATTATTCATTTTGTCACAACTGAAACCATGAATTATGATAATTCAGAAACGTGTCAAACTGAAATGCTCTATTTGAATATTTGTGAATGTTTAGTATACAAGGGCGAGGTGGGTCCATTTGGGTTATTTTTTTTTCATTCAACTTCCACGATTGCTGTTGTTTGCTTTGCTCAATTTTCATATAAAACAGTGATTTTTGTTCTGTGTCAGCCTCTGATTTGTAAATAGAACAAACACTATCAGCAGTATTGTGCAAACTTGCACCATCTTTTGAAAAGCAAAAACTTGGTCTTGTATGGAAAAAAAAAACACTATACAACTAGGAATATGTGGGATAAATATATCTACATTGTGCTGTTTCCTTTAGTTGTTAGCTAATGAATAAAAGATATGCATTCATTTGATTTGCTGTTGTATTTGTCTTCCTTCGCTGCTGTGTGCAGAATGTAGCGGTGCACAGAGAGGGCAGATTTTAATTGTTGAACAAAGCCTTCATTTTAAAAGCATTTCTGAGGTTCAGTCTTATTTATAAAAGCAGTGCATGTTCTTTCAGTTGGACACAAAAAAAAGAGAATAATGCTGCTTTGATTGTAGTAAAACCCAAAGACCTTGAAGGATTATTTAGACTGAATCATATTAGGGAAATGTTTATCTGTGACACTATTTTCCCCAAGGAGTTTACAGGAAAATAAATTGTTATTTTACACTTTAGATCAAGCCAGACAGGATGTAGGTAATACAGAGTTCATCTTATTTTATTTATTTTCCTTCTTTTTTTTCACTTAGATTTTGCCTTTTGTTTTTAACTAGAAAGATATTAAAATCCGTAGAATTCCTTAAGGAAATGCATATTGCCACCAGCTTATAGACCAAGATTTTAACCAAAATAGAACATGCAACATTGAAACTGACAAAGTTAACATTATTTTTGATCAAATCTTAATAAAAATTACACATAATCATGTGCACTCAGAATATGTTTTGGAGATAACTCTCAGCTACTATCTTGCCAAATTTTAGCTCACTATTTTTAAAACTGATTGAGTTATAGTCAGCTTTGTGTTCAACAMTATTGCTTAGCTGGAACGGCCATCATGAAAGGGACTGACTCCAAAAGTTAAACACTTCTGGAGGCACATGCAACGACCACTTTCTGAAAGTTTCATTAAAATCTGTTGAGTATTTCATGAGATATTTTGCTAACAGACAGACCGACTGAAACACATGCGCCGGCATGCTCACAAACAGAAGTAATTGCATGATTGCCTACCTTTTATGGCAGCAGGTGGATGAAAATAATGTGATGCATTGAACATATCAGCATCATGATGATTAACAGAAAGACAAATATATCACAGCGGATATTGTCATGATGACATTCAGAATTATCATAGCCCCACATTTCTCAAATGTGGTACAGCTCCATAGTGTGATATATTCAGAGCTGAAACATGACAACATATGACCCCATTGTGGCTGTGCGGCATGAAGACATCTGCCTGTGAATGCTTGTAGACTCTTACAGGGAAACGTTGTTTCCCTGTTTTATTGCAGAAATCGCTTTTTGGAAGCCTGGTTTCCATGGAAACATCCAATTACCTGACACGCACACTCAAAAAGTAATATTGTACTGTGAAAAGTACAATGTCAGCACTGAGTTTATGTTGGTGTTTGTGTTTAACCGTATTTCGCTCACTTAACAGACAAAAACACAACACGGGTGGAGTTCTTTGTTTTTTTTTTTTAGCTGAAAAAGAACATATTCATTAGTACTAGTGTTCACCTTTCATCCAGTTTGTTTGTCAGGTTGATGGTGTAAAGTTGCTGCTTGAAGACCTCATGTCTGCCAGGGAGAGAGAAAATTAGGGCAGATCTACATTATGTAAGCTTGAAGAGATGTGTCAGGCGGTGTGAAGACGGCGTATGACTGTAAGCATCCAGCAAAAGGGAAAAAACACCATCTTCTGTTTGGGCAAGCGGCACTTTGGAAAGGATTCAAACCACCTTGATGTGTCTGTCATTGTAAAAGAGAAAAGAATAGAAAACCTCTGTGTGTGTGTTTGTGTGTGTTTATGTGTGTGTGTGTGTGTGTGTGTGTGTGTGTGTTTTCCACTTGAATCTGTTTCTGTCCCTGAAGATTTTTGAGTCTTCTGTTTCCCCCTTGAAGCAATACTGCATTTCTCTCCCTCTTACTTTGCATGTGTGTTTGTGTGTGTGTGTGTGTGTGTGTGTGTGTGTGTGTGTGTGTGTTTTCCACTTGAATCTGTTTCTGTCCCTGAAGATTTTTGAGTCTTCTGTTTCCCCCTTGAAGCAATACTGCATTTCTCTCCCTC